AATTGAAAAGATTCACATGTTAAAACATTTCTGGCAAACATTGAAAATCCGAGGATTTTGAACCCAACTAAAACGAACTGTTATTTCATCAGTGTACTTAATTTAAACTTCCACAATTATGTATATGTTAATTAGGTTTCATTTACATGTAGCAAAAGATAATATCCCTCTAAAGTCACATTTTGGTAAGAATTCGATTATATAACTAAACTCAAAATTATTTGTAATTACCTGGTTTTAAATAATATTTTTTATAGATTCGTCTACAAACATTAGCTATAATGACCACACATTTTGAAAGCGACAATTAGTAAACGATCTCTGCGAGTAGTATGTACAAAGGTACTTCTGGGAAGAAGCCTAGTGATTTCTACATAGTATTTGTTACACTTAAAAGCAATTTAATCCAATCAGTGTTAAAAAAAACCCAATAGTAAAAACACCTTAAAAAACTGACGTTCAGAACAAGCATCCAGACGCAGACTATTTATTTTACAACATAGCAACTTGTTCAGTTGCTATGTTGTAAAATAAATACTTGTACTGTACAGTGCGGCAACAAACCTCGGTCCTGCAGTGCCGCAGCCAAACGCTTAGCCACTGCGCTACGGAAACGTCATTTATATTATACTACATTAACTACTAGTATAATAGTGTGTTTTTTTTATTTAATATTTTGTTTACACATATTTTTGTACCTAATAATTGTAGAGATATAATTACAAATTGCTGTGTGTAAAATACATTGATTTCTTATCCTTTACGCAATCCCCACGTTAAAAAAATTATTTCTCATAAATAATTCAGTATAGAGATCTAACTTTTATTATGTAAAAATATCGATAAACAATATATTGATAAATGTTATATCACTAAAATTATTCGAGGATAGACATTTACACTACTAATTCGCCTATGCCTATGTTGTCATCACTGTTTGTCAAAAATTAAATGTCATGACTTGATGTTGGTAGAGTAACTTAGAGCCCGTTCTATGGAGTGTAGAGAGAAGGAGGACCATCTCTATATATGAAAAGTGTCCCTAAAAACGTGTCCAATCCAATAAGGGTGGCGCTGCAGTAGCATAGGATAAATTAAAAAAAAAAGCTCCAAAAGTAATTAGAATAAGATGGAGAAATAAACAAGGACCGACCAATCCGCTTGGTTTTTTACTACGTAAATAGTTGAGATTTTGTATACTGGCTTTTTACTAACTACTCTAGTCATGAAATTTTTTAAATATTTGAATTCAACTGACTTCACTCCATTCACAACAGCTATCTTCATATCGTAGTTTTACGAACGCCAGCGCTATTGTGGTAGGTTTTGGAAGCTCTATTTTCAGTAAATAGTAGGACACTTTTTCAACTTTCGCCCCTTATAAGATGATACTCCTCGTACTCTACACTCCATAGCCCGTTCATACGTTTACTTTTTCTATAGGAAGTTAAGCCTCTTAAACATAGTGATTATATTCTCTTTGGGTGTGTGCTATAAGATACTATATAGGGGAATGCACAAATGGCCTTCTTACGTTCACCAGATGTCGTTAGTGCGGACTGAGATTATATTGTATTTATGACTTAAATGGTTACACAGTGTCATCACGGATAAAAAGTTGCATTTTAAACAAAAGTTTTTCAGTTTCTAGTGTATGTTTATACACAAAACAATGCCTCAGTGCTGTGTTCTTTAATTTTTTACACATTTTTAACATTTTTAAATTCTTCTACTTTTAGGCGTATCCGTATACTGGTTTATCAATTTCTAGTCTAATTTATATAAAATATAACTAATATTTCAGAAAGAATCATTAATCGCTACACTTTTCTAACAAATTAATTTCCCCTTTCATGAAATCTGTCAAATATTACACCTTATTTCAAAATGGTGCCGCCCTGGAAATAGAAAAAGTCGTAGATGCCCACATTGTAAAGTGTTATGTACCAGGGGGAGTGTAGGCTGTCTAGAAGACGTTTACTTGTAAGAGCGTAAGCGAGGTTCCAAAAAAGAAATCAAAACTTTCCTTTTATACATGGTAGAACAATACTGCAGCTATATTATGGTTGTAGCACGAGTGGGTCGGCTTGACCGGGGAAGGACCACGCTCTCACTGGACACCAGCGTAAAATATCAGCTTAACGCTGCTGTGTTTCGTATGGTGAGTGTAGAGAACTGGAGACCCTTTTTACTGGAAACGGGAAACGAGGCATTCCATCTTAGTCCTCACGGGTGACAACCCATCTGCATTTTGATTCTTAATCGAAGATAGATGTAGATGTCTATGGGCCGCAGCAACCATTTGCCATCAGGTGGGCTGTGTGCTCGCTTCATTTTCCAAAAGTTACATTAATGACGGTGCCCTGGTGGCAGATATATTTGACAGATTTCATAGCGGGAGAAGTTAATTTTTTTATGGAATTGTGTGACAATTTGTTAGAAAAGTGTAACGATTAATGTTTCTTTCTTAAATATTAGTTAAATTTAAAATGAATTAGATGAGTATTGGATAAATCAAACTACAGATATTACTAAAAGCAAAATTTAAATAAATTAAAATGGTAAATATAAAAAAAATAACTATTAGTTTAATCGCAAAATTTTCATAATGAGGATACTGCGTATGAAATAACTTCACCTTAGTCCCAACTAGCGACATCTGGTGAGCGTAAGATATGAGCCCTCATTACAGAATCGTAAAAGTTTAATGTAACGTAGTAATCATATCAAAAGTAATAAAATTGAATAGCTAATATCATGTAACACGGCATAGAGCATCACGGGCCACCAGTAGACTGGAGAGGAGTAGCCATAGCGTTTTTTTACGATACAGAATAATCTGTCATTTTTTGCGGGGGGAAATCTGCGAACTAAAAGCAATTAATCGTCAGTCACTACGAAACTCACACAAACATAACAGTTAAAACAATAAAATAACAATTTCACACACTTATATATATATATATATATATATATATATATATATATATATATATATATATATATATATATATATATATTATAACACTATCGCTCGGTGACTGCGACAACTTGGATATATGTTCTTATCAATCGCTCAACCAATCTGTATATTGTATGATGGCGAGCGGCCTTTTTTGATAAACAAATTCGAAACAACACGATCTTTATTATTGTAATTATTAAGTTTAAAAAAAATAGTAGTAAATAGTAGTATGTAATGTTGTTAAAAAGACATTATATATGAAAGATAACGCCATTTTTTTTTGTAAATTTGACGTGACAGATCACTTTTTGCAGCCAAAAATAGAATCATTCGGTATTTTTTAGGACGTCAATTCAGTCATGCAACTAAACTTAGTGTAGTGATCATTGCGGCTGCAATTAGTTTTATTCTTCGCATAGGACCGTGTGGACTTATATTTTGACAGAGGGGAACACCTGCATATGGTTACTCCCCTCCGGTCCACCGTTAGCCCGTGTTGCTCTGTTACACGGTTTATAATAACCAATAAATTTTTACCTTTTTACTACAGCCATAGCTGTCAAATTACACAGATAATAACGTGATATATTTCAAAGTAATAGAATTCAACTAATTTTTTGTTATTTTTAAGGAATCAGAACCTATAAGAATTTGCATACGTTTTTTTTGTTTGTTGTTTTGTTTTCTTCAAAAACAGTTATTTGTTTAAATGCACTGTATTTTAGTTAAGTAGCCATAGCGGTGGCCTAAGAGAATCTACTACCTCATATTTTGTAGCTCTTAAGACGCCATACCATCCCGTGAGTATCGTAAAGATCACCTTTTACGATATTCACAGGAGGGAAGTGAAACAGTAGATGGGCAGCAGTAGCTTCCTGATAATGACTCAAAATAATAAAAGATTGCGGTTATCCACTTACTAAGAGCATTTTGCTAACTATGGCAAATATTCCCCCTATGGGGCAGTCTATGGAAAAGTCCTATGTAGCAACATCAGCAGAGGACTTTTCATGGGCTGTAATTAATGAATGAATAATGGATTGTATCTTAAGGGAGCGGAGAAGAAAACGGGTAATACGTTCGTAAACAATTTATTGGAGTGGAGTGAGGAAAAGGAAGACAGACTGTGGTCGTGGCGCTGTATTTATATTATCGTACCAGTGCCCTTTATGTACGTTCTGTGAAGCAAACCCTTTGTCTATTAGACAAACATGAATAAATAAAATTTCCAATGGGGTACTTAGTTAGGTACATGTTTAGAGTTAATATATCCCACGAAACCTATAATAAGGCTAGGGATAGTTTGACAGAAACATACTGCCTGAATTTAAGTACATTGCATAATGACCTTATCAACGATATATTTTAACTTAACACGATAGTACGAAATTCCATATTAACAACTACCTTTTTGATGTAATATGTCAGATGAAGCTTTAATTAACGTTCATTAATATATTTATGTATTATACAAACCGAAATAAACAAAATCCTTAATTTTACTAAGTCATAGGTGAAAGTAATCAGCTAGATTGCTTTCTATCTTATTTTGTACCACGTATATTTTACTACTATTATATTACTATGCTCTTGCATAATATGCATAAAAAGTTCAACTATAAGAATTTTGTTTTTATTTTAAGATTCCTTCAATGGTAGTAATTATTCTGAGTTTTTTTAATAAATTTTAAAATTTTAAAAGTTAATTAGGAAAGTGAGTACCACCTCCCTACCAAAATCTATGACAGTTGCATAACGAGATTCAACCATAGACAAGTAATTGTAGACCAGTGACAGCACCGTAACCACAGAGTACTTTTAATATACCTCTCAATTTTAAATTTCAACCGATTTCCGTTACCGTCAAGATTTGTTTGGCATTGAGTAGGACGTGTTTTTATAGATTTTATCTATAAAATATTTATTTCTGATATCTGATTTATCTGATTTCCATGTGCAACGTTTGATTAAATTATTATTCATAAAAATTAAAATTGATACACAATAAATATTGGGCTTAGTGTTGGTTAAAAGTATGGCCCAGTTCAATTATCTAAACGAATTAAACAGTTTAGCGACAATGGATGGGCCAATAACAAGAGGCCCTCTTCAACGATGGGTGAAAAAGACTACCAACGAGAATATCAATCCATCGTTGAGTGCATCTTTCAAAAATGTTTCCAACGCAAACCTAAGTTCTTGCAATCAGTCGATGCAAAAATTGTCAATATCAGCAAATCAAAGTTGCAATAACAGTGTGTTATCTAGTAGTAAGACTCCTACAAGAAATGAAAACAAAAAAGGGAAAAAGACTCCCTCAAAGAATAAATCTCCAGGTGAGTTATAAATATTTAATTAAAAACAAGCACAGCAAGAGTTACATGTGTTACAAGTAAATAAAAGACCTTGACTAGTCCATATATATGTAAAGGGACCAATAAATTTTATAAACTTCCTTTTGATTCTTGTCTACACAACAAACAAGTTATACAAGTTTTAAATAATTCTTATGTTATATTGCAGGTCGATCAACTACACCTACTCCTAATAAAGCTTCTAAGACCCCTAATAAAGCTGACAGATTTATCCCTTCTAGGAGTAATTCAAACTATGATTTATGTCATTATATGGTAAGTTGTAAAGTTACAACTATTTTAAAATATATGTTCATAAATTGTTTCACCACTAATTAAAAAAAATATTAAGAAATAAATGTATGATTATTTATTATACATTTATTTATAAATAGATTTTAAATAATTTGTATTCACTACAGTTCTTACTACATATGGACCCATTTACACAAATAGGAACCAACCCACAACAGATTGATTTTGAGAAAATAGGACTTTTGTAAAAAGAGTGTGTAAAATGTATATGAAGCATATTAAAAAATAAAATTTCTAAACTTACGTGGGACATCAAGGCCTTTCTAGGAACATATAATTTATTATTTTTATAAAATTTTACTATAAGTAATAGTAAAAAAATGGTTGGTTCTATCTGGCAAAAAGCAAATTTGGTTCCTTTACAAGTTGTACGTAGGTTCTAATTTCTATAATATTTTTAAAAATAATAAGTTATCTTTACTTTAAACACTTTTTATTGCTGTGAAATATCTATCTTAGCATTTTTTACATCTAACATACAAAAATCATAAAAAGAATACAAAAAATTTAAGCTAAAAACTCCATTGTCATCTTCTACCTCAAAATCAATAGCACCAGTATAACCATCAATATCATCTATATTGTTGCTGCTTTTTATTTTTTAATAAATACCTGTGCAGCTTTTGGTATAAGGTGCACAATACTTTTTAAATCTTTTAATTTTGCCTCGGAAATGGGTTTCCCAGTGGGCCAAAGCAAGTTCATATAACTCTTGGACAAAGGTGATGATGTCACACTTCTTCATTCTGTTGAAGCCACATTATGACCCTCTTGCTGACCACGCTTATCTTTAAGGCAATTATTCCGCATTTTTTTATAGGATATGGATGATAAGGGAGCACACAGTTGACCTGATGGTAAGTGGTTGCCGTGGCCCATAGACTTCTATATCTATGCTCGATTGTGAATCAAAATGCAGATGCGTTGTCAGCTGTGATGACTAAGATGGAATGTCTCTTTTCCAGTAAAAAGGTTTCTGGTTCTCTTTCTCACTACACGGAACACGGCAGCATTAAGCTGCTATTTTTTTTTACATTTTACAAAGAGCTATATTTACACTTTTGGATGATGGAACATTTGTTTGCAAACAAGTATGTCATTCAAATAATATTCCCGAGAATAAGTTTTGTTTTTATTTTAATTTTTCGTAGTAGTGACATAGTTTCTATTGTAATTCTTTAACGCATGTTATTCAATACATATTATGGGCAACATATGAGCTTATTGATTAGAATTTATTTATTCTACAAGTTTTTCTTCTGTAGATATCTTCTCTTGACATTTTTTTACACAATTGTAGTTATTAATCGATTTAAACCTTGGAATCAATGATTTGCTTCTCAAGAGTTCTTATAGCTTTGGTTATTGGTACTGTCCCTTCTTTTTCTCTTCTCTTAGCGCTCCATCGTTTAAAATTTTTCTACCTCTGATTGGTCTCGCTTGGTATGAAGATTCAGTTTCAGTTTCTTGCAATATTTCACTGGTACTAATACTTCAAGGTTTCAAGTACCGTCTCATTCGGTGTTTAATGGACTTATGTTAATGTTGTTATCAATGACAGATTTTTCAGAGCTGTTATCACCAAACATAATATTTTCATCATGACATATGAAATTTGGATCATGTACAGAATCATCGCTATTTATGTCGGACAAAACGGGTGAATTTTGTGCAGCATTTTTATCATTATTATTTTATCATTATCAAGAGATTCAGGTAGAATATTAAATAATTCAGTCGTCTCTGGCGACATCGGTAGCATTGGGAAGATGGACAGTTGAACTTTAGTATTTGTTTTTGTTTGTTTCGATTTTAGTTAGCTCTTTGTCATTGGATAAAGAAATGGTCATGCATTGTTTACCATCACTTGTGCTATGTAACATGCTAGCAAGCGATTGCGACACTCTAGGTGGAAGTAAAGAATAGGGAGGCGGCTCTTTACTTATTTTCCCAATGTCCTCAACAGCATTTTCATTCAAAGTTTTACATTCCCGTTCCCGTGCATGTAACACAGGAGGTCTAGGCGTTAAGTGGGAAAATGATGGAGGGCTAATGCTTTTTCCACCTGATTCTTTTTCATTTTTAATTGTCGAAACTACCTATAATCACACTTTTCCAGACAAAAGCGGTTCGTCATCAGAAACATGCAAAGCTGCAGAACAAACCAAAATGATGTCTTCTGACATATTATATAATAAAATAGTTAAGTTACAAGTTACAATCTACCTGTAACACACCACACTGTATTTAAACCTTCATAATTTAAAATGCAGACATTTTTTAATTACAAGGATGTGTCTCAATTTATCATCAAAATATTAATTTCGAATCAGAGTTGACTCCTTTTTTAGGGTTCAAAACAAGTTATTAGTGTTTAGGTACCAAGTTACCTAAATTAAGAAGTAGTTAAGAAATCTCTTATATACACTTGTATTTTTTGGGAAAATAGAAAGCGTCATTTGAACACCATCTGTGTACCAAACTCAATTTCACTCCTTTGTTGTTGTTGTTTCCTTTGGTTGGTTCCTGTTTGCGTAAATGGGAGCTGTGTCTCGCCAGCAACGCAAAGTCAGGAATTTGCATTTAGAAAAACCCAAAATTAGGGGCCTTCTTTTAGGTGCTACTTTGATGCCAAGCTTAAAAATTAGGTGCTCTAAAATTTTCACCGCAACAAACTGTTAAATTATGCGTTGGTAGCAAAACGTATCGTTAGCAACGCAATTAAGTTTTTAGATATACGATAAATATGAATAGCAAGGAATTATGTGCTAATTAGGTGCTTCAAGTATAGGCAATGACAAGGCTTAATGAAAATAAAGTCGTTATTCAGAACAAAGCAGATGCAAAATTCAGGTTTTCTGAAAATCAGAATAGATTCAAAATTCCTTTTAGAAAAAGCCCAAATTAGGGCTATTTTGGTGCTAATTAGGTATCAAGTTTAAAAATTTGTTGCTCTAAAATTTTTACCGCAACCAACTGTTGAAATTTGCGTTGCTGGCAAAACGTATCGATACCAACGCAGTGACGATAATATATATAAGATTATTGGGTTCGGACATATGTAACATATTATAAACTAGCTGATCCTCGCGATTTCGCCCGCGTGTTATTGGGGGTTTTAGTTTTTTTGCGCGGAACACTAATTCTTTTCTAAAAGAAAAGTAGCCTAAGTTACTCCTTATGACATCAGCTATCTGCCAGTAAAAGTCCCGTCAAATTCGGTCCAGCCGTTTCAGAGATTAGCCGGAACAAACAGACAGACAGACAGACAAAGATTTTAAAAATTGTGTTTTTGTTACAAGTATCGTCTATACTTTCATATGCATTTAGTAAAAAGCCGTAATTTTGACATTACAAACAGACACTTCAATTTTATTTATTTGTATAGATAATGCATCCCTTGTGAATTTACTCACAGAACATATAAATATGTCAACTTCCTCATGGATAAGGTTAAGTAGTCTGGTGGCGCGAGTGCGCGGCGTCTCCCGCAGCAAGTTGGTGCGAGCGCGCGGCACCGCCAGCAGCCGCGGCCGCCGCCTTCGCCACACGTATTTCTCCAGCACATTCAAATATATACCCTCCAAGAAATAAGGATTGTCTACCTTTCCTCTTATTACTTGGAGAATATATGATACTAATGCGAGGTCCCGCCTAACACGGAGTTCATTATATCCCACCATACCTAAAACGAATAAGGTTGGATATTTAAGTGGGTAAAAAGGATATACGCCATACTGTTTGAAATATAGAAATCTAACAAATTTGTTTTGAATTCTCTCTAGCACAGATAACCGCGTTGCACTCAAGCTGGCTCCTAAATAAGGCGTTATACAGTGCTACAATGGCTTTAATGTTAGTGAAACAACGAGCCCTGCGCAGTTTAAAACCTAAGTTGCGATACGCTTTCTTGCAGATGTCCGCTATATGATTTTGGAAATTAAGTACTGAGGTGAAACGAACACCCAAATCATTAACCACGTTCACTCGTGGCATAGCTACTCCATCCAGTGCATACGTATAGAGCACGGGATTGCGTGCGCGAGTAAAAGTTAGCGTTACACACTTAGATGAATTAAACTGCAACTTATTATCCTCACATCACGCTATCACCCTGTCAATGTCGCGTTGTAACGTCTCACAGTCCTCCGGTTCCCTGATCCATAGATACAACTTGAGGTCGTCAGCGAACAGCAAACATTTAGAGTCAATCATAACACTCGGCAGATCGTTTATCATTAATGTAAACTCGAGAGGACCGAGGTTGTTGCCTTGACTCACATCAGATCGAGTGTAATATGGTTTCGATACGAAACCAGCGTATTCCACATATTGTTGCGTGTTCCTCATGTAACTGGCAAACAATTGTAGTAAGTGTGGAGTAAAATCTTACTTACTTATCTTCACGCACAATCCCTGGCGGGGTAGCCAGAGAGAACAGATCGCCAAGTGTCACGATCCTTACATACCTCTTTCGCTTCTTTCAGATTCATTATCTTCTTCATACATGCACGTCTAGATATCCGAGTACTCTTGACCCTCCCCTCTTCGAACAATTTGCTCACATGGTCTTTGAAAGTTAGTCTCGGTCTACCTCGACACCTTTTAATATTAACTTTCGCGCTATATGTTTTCTTAACCATTCGGTCTTCACTCATTCGCTCAACGTGCCCAAACCATCGAAGCACGCCCTTATCAATTTTTGTGATAAGGTCATCTTTCAAACCTGCCATATTGCGAATCTCTTCGTTTCGCTTTCGGTCGGCCATGGTAACGCCGCACATTTTACGAAAAGATCGCATCTCCACTGCATTCAACTTGCTTTTATGCTTCTTCTGGCATACTCAGGTTTCGCTGCCATATAACAAAGTCGGTACCAACACTGCGTTATGTACTGCAAGGCGTGCACTCTTCACTACGCCTTGCCTTTTGACTAACGCAGTTAGGGCACCATTGACTTT